ATATATATATATATATGTATGTGTATATATACATATATATGTATGTGTAAATATAAGTATGCATATGTATATATGTATGTATGTATATAAGTATACATATGTATATATGTATATAGATATGTATGTATGTATGTATATATATGCGGGGGCTTCCCTGGGTTGCGACACTGTAGCTGCTACAGTACCGCGACCCAACACTTCTCCCTTTTCTTTTATTTTCCTCCCTCTTCCTTTCCTTTTTTCATGATTCTTCCATTTTATTTCCTACATATTTTATACCCGTCTTTTCTATTTCTTTCATAAGCATTACCTATTCTATTTATGAATTCTCATTATATATATATGTGATGCTGAGTGCGTTAGGAGGCAGTTTTTGATGATTGAAGATTTTTTAGTGATGCCTTTGAGGCGTTCTTCCCCTCCGGGAAGGCGTATCTGATAGCGAGAAGGCGCTCCAGTTATAACTGGTATGAGGTAGTGACTTTCTCCAAGGGTCCTAGTGGTGCTTTGTGGCTCAACCCTGACGAGATATATATCCTTCTGCAGCCCCCCTCCAACCCCTCATTCAGCAGCCTCAAATTATCTTCTCCACTGTCTCATAGGCCTTCCAGTCACCTACCTATTGTCGCTGCCTCTCGTCGGCCACCCCACTCACCTTCCCTACTTCTGTTTGTCGCTTCCTGCAGCTATCCTACTGTCGCCATCTCATCCCGCACTTTTCAGGTTCCTATCCATTCTGCTGGGTGCGTCCCAACCATCGACGACATCTTCTAGGTTTTTGTCCACGCTTCTGGGGGCTGTCCCGACCACCACAGACCTCTTCTAGATCGCTGTCCACCATCGCCTGCACCCTCCCAGCAGGCTGCCTTCCTCCAACTCCCTTCCAGCAGGTCACCAACCGTCTTCAACACATCCCAACAGACTGTCCTTCCTCTAGCTCCCTTCCGGCAGGTCTCGCCGACCATCTCCAACACTTCCTAGCAGACTGCCCTTCCTTCAGCTCCCTTCCTGCGCCGACCATCTCCAACACTTCCCAGCACGCTACCCTGTTGCCGCCAACGTCCCCACCCGCTTTCGTAGCCCTAATTGGAGTTTATTCATTGTGCATTGCTATTTTTTGGTGTCGTTTGTTTTTGTTAGGAGAATTTTTATTTGTAATCGTTGAAATTTAGCAATGTTATTATTATTTTCATTGTGGTTTGGGTTTTTCCTTCGGTTTCATTTAACATCAGAGCTAGCCCAACCCTAGTACTATCCTAGGTTTTCCTAGCATTGGCCCTCGCCTATATGCCTAAAAGCTTCAACGAATGAGGTCTAAGCTCCCCTAACCTCAGGAGATTGATGTGGGAGCTTCCCTGGGTTGCGACACTCTCTTACAGTGCTGTGTACGCAGTTCTATAGCTGCAACAGTACTGAGACTTAACTCTTCTACCTTCCCTTTTTTGTTTTCCTCCCTCTTCATTTCCTTTTCCATGATTCTCCTATTTTATGTACTACCTTTTTTATGTCTGTTTTTTCTTTTTCTTACCTTTCCTAAGCATTACCTATTATATTTACAAATTTTCATTATCTCTTAAGTGCTTTAGGAGGCAATTTTTGATGAGTGCAGATTTCTAAGTATTGTCTTTGAGGCGTTATTCTCCTCTAGAGGCTATTCGACAGCGAGAAGGTTCTCTGGTTGTAACTCGTCTAAGGTGATGATCTTTTCCAAGGGTCCGGGCGGTGCTCCGACTGTAGCTCAACTCCAACAAGATATGTATTCTTTTGCAGTCTCCCCTTCGACCCCGCTTCCAGTAGCCGCAAACTATCTTCTTCGCTGCTGCATCAGTTTTCCAACCACCTACATGTTGTCCCTGCCTCCCGCCAGCCACCCCAATCACCTTCCCTACTGTCGTTCGCCGGCTCCAACAGATATCCTGTAGCTGCCATCTCATCCCGCACATTTAAGGTTGTCCATTCTGCTAGGTGATGTCCTGACCACCGACGACATCTTCTTGGTTGTTGTCCACGCTTATGGGGGGTTTTTCCGATCCCTGCCGACCTATTCCATGTCGCTATCCAACATCCCTTGCACCATCCCAGCAGGCTGCCTTCTTCTAGCACCCTTCCGGCAAGTCGTCGGCCATCAAAAACACATCCTAGCAGACAGCCCTTCCTCCAGCTCCCTTCTGGCAGACCTTCGATCTCCACCACCTCCCAACAGGCTATATGTTGTGTTTTTGTGATTTTGTTTCTATGTTTGGTGTCGTTTGTTTTCTTTAGAAGAGCCTTTATTTATAATCATTAGAATTCAGTAATATTATTATTATTTTCGTTGTGATTTGGGCTTTTTCTCTGGTATCAATAGATATATATATATTTTTAAGCTACTCATGGGATAATTTTTGTTGGGTTCATTTTTTGTGTTAAATTCGATTGATCAAACTATTATAAAATTGCCTTGAAATAGAAGTTTATAAAGTTGTATCTATGTATGTGAAGAAAATATAAAAATAATATTAATTGAGTTGGCTTGATCTACGTTTTAGCTCAAGATTCTAGAAATTAGATCATTATCACCTTGGTTGGATCAAAACTTGTAAAAACTCATATCAAGACCTGTAGTGTTTTTGGCTCTTTATCAATTAAGGTCACATAAGCCTTTCCTTCATACTAAACCTGGTAGCTTCTTGATATTACATTAGAAGGAAATTTTAGCTTTAATTGAAGCTTATAAGGCTAATTTGGTGTTATATTACATTAATCCTTTATAAGGCTAATTTGGTGTTTAGCTTTTTTTTTTGTGATGATCAAATCTCATTCCATTATATCCTTATCAAAACATCTCAAATCACATCTTCATTCTGCGTGTTGGTTTCATTTACATGGGTCTAAACTCCACCTACTCAGCAAAGTAAATTTAATGCTTGGTTGTTAAACTTCTTATGGTGATTCAAATATATATCTGAAGGTGACAAAAGAGACAACTCAAGCTTCGTTCCAATGTAAAGGTAGGAAACTTCAAATTAGGCCAAGAATCTCATGTTCATAAATTTACATCACTTAAAAAAAAATAAAATAGGAAGAGAAGTGCTGAAGAAATATAGGTGTTAGTGTGAGGGATGTGAGGCAGTGGTGATGAAAAAGGGTAGAATTCATAATGCAAATTGTTGGGAATCTCCTTTTGTGTGGACTAGGTTGTCTTGATGCAAATTTAAGGTGACATCTATGTTTAATTCTTTATGTGAATGGTGCACTACTAACATTTCCTACATCTTTGTTTGTGTGAATTAGATGGCTTCATCTTTGTTTGTGTGCCTTCAAGGGTACTTTAGCTGCTTGATTATAGGCACAAAAATTAAAGTTTGAAACATGTTAAATGACTCCCAAGGCACTTGAAGCTAATATATTTTAGGTTGCCTTTGGCTATAATTCATAATCTAAGAGTTGTAACTCTCTTATAGATCAACAACAAGATTTAGCAATTACTACTTCTTTAAGTCCTTAGATCACTTCAAAATCATCCCAATATTATCATAGATTTGAGACTTCTACTAAAAGTTCACATCATGTAAAGTTTGGCTAAACATCGACAAGCAAAGTAGCAAGAAACAAATTAGAACTTTACACTTATCGAGTATAAGGGATACCACGTGGATAGTTCCAAGCATAATATTTAAGAAAAGAATTATGAGTAAATTTTCTTTTTATACCTTGTGCTAAAAGACTGCATGCCCTCTAAGCATTGCCATGGCGAGCATAGCGATAAAAAAGATAAATCCATAATCTTTTAAACTCTCATCTATAATTACACCAACATCATTTCTAGTGTGACACTTACTCGAATACCAAAAAGTTTAAAATCTAAACTATTAATTTTCTTAACATATTCTCCAACTCATTTATTTTCTTAAAACATAAGATATATATCTTCCTATGAACATAATATCAACCAATTCCATTAATTTATCTGTGAGAGTATCTATATTTAATGATCTTATTTTAATATTATTTTTAGGGACTAAATTCTTTACTCGTATCCTCCCGTAATGTGGGAACCCTTGTTTATTCGACACTACACCCGGGCGTCGTTGTAGCGGCTCTTGCACACTATTCACTGTATTTAAGTTATACAGTGCGTTGCTTCTAAGGGACGTCTTAACATTTACATAAGGATTTAAAGGATTTATGTCATGATTTTTTGATAAATTTTATGCTAAAAAATAATGCACCCCCACACTCTACTTCTAAAATTTTGAAAATATGATTTTAAGATATGCTCAATTCTTATAAAGTGTATATATGAAGATATTAAGTATAAAATATGCCCTTAAAATTGTCACATTCCAATATGATAAACAATGCACCACAGCAATGCAAAACATAATGAAATGATAAAAACTTTTCTTGTGCTCATAAATAAAATCATTTATGAACCATATAAATAGATAAGAATAAGCACGTGAATAACTAGAAAGGCATGCTTTACTATATATATATACAATAATAATATTAATATATCAAATATACGACACAAGGAACTTTGCTAATAGCTAAATATAACGTTTCTTAATCTAACCTAATCTTTAAAATTTTTGGGCAATTACATACATAGCTCTCAAAACATTGCTATTTACAAATATACACCCTCTTTTATCCATTTTTCTCAATCATGCATATCAAAATTCACAATAAAATCCTAACTCATCCTTCTCATGTTTTATCAGTTTATCAATGGTTTGATCATGGCACAGCTGATTCTCCACCATAAGCATACATGCTACATAATTCTGATGTATTTACATATCTATTAATACAATTTTGATATTTACTTATATAACCCCCAATTCTTTATATCACATCAAGAAAATCACTTGTAAAAACTTTTTAAACCAAATACATTTTTCCATTTACATACTTTCATAATAATTGAGACAAATACTATAAAAATAAATATTAAATTTTTGGGGCTAGATTTATAAATTCTCAAAATATATCTCACACATTTTAAAATGATTAACTCAAAAAACAAAGGAACAGCATCAATAATCATCAGCAGCACATCATTGGAATAAATAAGCTCAAATTAAAAATCAGTAACAAGACTAATCAGCAGCAAACTGGCAATTGCATCCAGCTTTTTGTTTCTCAAGAGCTTAAAAAAGTTATCCCACCACCACCTGACAGCCCCATTGCAGGAAATAAAGGGCCTCATATCAGAATCTATAATATAGAACACTTGGAACATCACCCAGTCCATATCAACAAATCCCATGCAGAAACTGCCATAATTTGTTGAACAAGTCAAGGCCAAGCAGTTTAATGCAAATTTTTGGGACAATCAAAATAAGAAAAGTGAAAAATGAGATCTGAAGCATCACATCTCTTATAAAGGAGGCGGTGGCATCCGCGGATGGTTGTAACGATTTTCCGGTCGGCTCGGAACGGCTCTCTCATTGTTGGTGCCTCCTCTTTGGGCAAAACTTCCAGATTGAGGAGCCTGATTGGGGTTGAAGGGACCCCACCACCGTGATTCCCCCTCAAGTGGGATCCAGGGAAGCGGAGCGAACCCTTCTCTTCCCCATCCGTAGTACCGATCGAAAACCCTGCCGGAATCCTGCAGACTCCGGTTTGTGGAGGTGGAGACAGAGAAGCCATGGAAGCCACCTATATCTGTAGAGGATGTGGTTGAGATTACAGCTACTCCCCTTGGCCTGGATCTCCTGTTAGGAGGGAAATGGGAACTTTGGGGGGGCGAAGAGGATATGGATTGATGATAGATGTGGCTTGCATTGCCTCTAGAATGGGTTCTAACTTCGCCATGTACCGGTGGAGCTATGGATCCAGTTCTTAGATTACTCGCACTCCGAGAGGAAATAGACCTTCAATATTTAAGAATGGATTGGATTAGATGATGCATGCAGACCTTCATTAACTGGCATCTTTAACTGTACTATAAAAAGTAGTAATCCAAATATCTATTGAAAAAATGGACCGAATTCTCTAGCATAGCCATTCAAATTGTTCATAGACTGCCCAAAAGTTAACTTTAATTCAAACTACATTATTAAGGTCATTTCTGTTAAAGCTAAAAGTAACTCAAGTGTAAAAACAGTCTCCGACTATTTATATCAGGTCATTTTAATACTAGAATTTATAAAAGTGCTAAATTAATCCCCGACCTATTTTAATAGGGCTAAAATTGTCATGACTGGAGACTATTTCAACCGATATTAAAAGAGGTCTGGAAACTAAATTTACACTTTTTAGTAACTCTATGACTAAAATGCTCCGCCCAAAAAAAAAAAAAAATACAGGAGACTATGTTGACACTTATCTAACTAAAAATAGAAATATTCAAAACAAGCTTACTTCTCCAGAATCTGAATGGTGAGCTAAGTTTTCAGCTGTTGACACTTGTGTATAATACCTTTGTTGTGTTAATACTACTCATAGATATGTTGAAGAGAAAGGCTTACCCATGAGGGGGATGAGGATGGACGAAAGTTCCTATTCTTTGTGGATTGTTTGTATCATTTCTCGATAACATCAGACGATACTGAAATGTAGACTGATCAGAATTAGCAGCCACTGGAACAGGAAGTGGGGGTGGTTGCTGCGGCCAGTTCTGACCTGGGGGCTCGGTTAAACTGTGAAGGTTGTGCACTTCAGCTGGTGGTTGTCCGCCCAGGCCGGTTAAATGCGGGTGGAAATGAGAATTTTCAGAAACAGAATCAGAAGGAATGGAAGGCTGAGTAGACATAGGGTGATGAGGAAAACCATGCAGAGCCTGGTATGGGCAAATATGGGAGCTAACAGAAGCACTTGAGTGCTCTCCAAATGAAATAATACCCATTGGTTCATGATCTTTAACGGAGTATGGATCCAAATAAGAAATGAAGAAAAAAAAAATCAGAAACATGTCTAAATAAGTAGAAGACAATGAGCCAAATATATAAAGAATCAAGAAAGAGCTTACAATAATTTGGCTGTGACTCCATGTCCCTGTAAGAGAACCAAAAAAAAAAAAAAAAATTAAGTTCATAATGCTAGCAAGAAAGATTGTGGCGAAAGCCTTCTTTATAGATTATATTTAACCACAGGCATTTAAATATATAAGAAAAAAGCAATTTATCATGAAATTTATATTACATCATAAAATGTTTTGAAAATCAAACAAACTGCATATGCATACAAAATAATTGGAACTCTGTGCTAGGGAACAAATGATTTAAGTTTCAAGTTCAACATGAATGTCCAGGAATAAAGAGTTTATGAATTTTAGAACTAAAAAGTTTACCTACCAAAACTTAAAAAAGTTTACAAAGCATGTAGTCAAACCACATAATATACTAATTACTAAATAACATTAAATTAAGACATCAAGGAAACATTAAGAATGACCTTACGGAGAATAATCCATAGCAATCAATATTTTACCATTTTATGTCAGTCTACAACTAAAACAATAAATTGTAGCATCAGGCGGAAAAAAAAAACAAACGTAATAGGAAATGCCTCCTTTGCTGATGCCTAGTCAATGTTGCTACATAGTTACTTAACCTAGCCCTTAATTATCATTAAATGAACTCCATTAACATTAAAAAATTGTTTTTTTTTTACATACATCATTTCTATGATAATTTTCAAATCCAGAGTTTTCAGACCTTTTATCTGCCTTGTTGGTAAAGCAATCATTTTCTTACACAATTAAGAGCCCCACACTTAGATACTTCTGGTCCCTGATTGCTCTTTGAAAATGCAGCGCTAAGAACCCAACAGAGAGGAAGAGATGGAGGTAAAGAGAAATTACATTAAGGGACAGGAGGGAAGGAGAGGGGAGTAAGGTTAGGATGACATGAGATGGGGAAAAAGAGCAAAACATATATGGATGAAGAGAAAGTTGATTGATAGAGGGCGGAGCAGAGGTAGGGATCAGTAGATTTAGAAGAAATGTTTATGAAAATTAGGAAAAGACTAGCATTTTGGTCAGTTCAGCTTGCTCTTTCTACCGATCCACGGAAAATTCGGAGTACTTGCTATCAAAAATGAGATTGCATCAGGAGGGTTATCAGCACAGTCAAGTGAAAAATGCCGCAACTGCTAAAGTAAAATAAAAAGCACTAACCCAGATACATGACACTTGCATGTCACAGCTAACCACTAGACCAAACTACTGATTTCAAAATACAAAGGACATAAATGTTATTTTAGAATATTTTTTAGAAAGATTAGCCATAAGGAAGACTTAAACGTAGAAAGGAGAAAATTTTTAGGAGGAATGTATAAGGTATCCTAATAGTGGGAGAAACACATCGACGAAAGTTTTATTTTATAGAAAAAGCCGCCCAGTAGGTCATCATTTAATCTTTTGTAAAATATGTTTTTATGTTAAAAAAAAAACATCTACAGTTTAGGATGCATGTAAATAAACAATTTCATATGTTTATGTATAACACTGCTTTTAATAACAAACATGTTGCAACTTATAGAATTCCTTGCAGAGATAAGGAGCAAGGTGAGGTGTTTTGAAGTCGACAAAATTCGTGAGCTTAATAGTAACTATATTAATCAATAATCATCAACATTACCTTCCTTAAATTTAATCAATTTTGTTCACCTGTCAATTTTTAATTTCATATGTACTACTTTTAAGCACGCTAGTCTACTTTTAGTTAGAAAGGCTTTGCTGCTATAAACGCCTAACAGAAGTACAATGATATACTTTTGGCATTCGGTCTCTGGTTAACAAATATAGCCAAACCATTCAATTTTTTAGACCTTTCAACTATTAGGCTGTTACTTTAAAGAAGCAAAACTTCTTTTTCAAGCAGGTTCAGTAAAAGCACCATTTAATTTTAAGCAGCCCTGAAGACCTCACAAGGAGACGATGTTACATTTGGCATTGAATCATTGGTTAGCAGCATATAAATCCAAATTATTCAGGCTCTGTTTGGTGCAACTGCAGCTTCTCAGCTTTTCAACTACAGCTGCGTTACCCCAGGAAACTGCTGTGGGGAAGCTGTTGTGGGGAAGCTGGTTATCTATATGTTGCAGCTGTCTGAGAACAACTGTGAGACAGCTGTTTCGGGAAAAATGACCCTTCTGCACTTGTTTAGTGAAACTGTTTAAAACAGAAGTATGACAGCGACATATCTAACACTTAAAACATCAATTTTTACATATCTAGCACTTAAAACATCAACTTTTACACTCATGCCACCTCCCCTATGCTTCAATTAAATATGATTTAAACTTGCAATCCATTAAACTTGGGGAAATTTACATACTTAACACACAATTCTTATGAACACACAATTCTTATGTATTTACTTATGTATTTACATATATCACACAATTCTTAAGTCAAAAATGCATGCTGGATGATACATGAATCATCTTCTTATTGGAAGTGATACCAATGGAGGAGACGGAGGAAAAACGAAACTTGTAATTAATTTGGAAAAAAGAGCACATAGGTCACACAGGAAAATTCCACTAATAACAAGCAATGGGAAATTTGATAGTGGTTAAAATATAATCCCCTCTTACAACGAAAATCAAACTTACCGTTGCTTGAGAAAAAAATAAAAAAAATCTAACCGTTGTTTGAGGAAACCAGGCTACGATCTGAGGAGGAGATCGTCGCTCGAGAAGATGACCTCGACAAGGGTTGGGGAAGATGAGGAGATGTGAGACGACCTTCGCTCGGGAAGAGGAGAAGATGCGAGACGATTGGGAAAAGGAGCAGCTTTTGGAGTTTGGGGAACGCTCGCAAAAAGGTTAGCGTGAGGCACTATCATAAAAATTATTTCACGCTCCTGCGGAGAACGCTGGGCCACTGTTACCTGTCCGCATCCGGCGTTCACAACGAATCGCGGCAAACCGCGGAGGAGACACCGCCCAAAACGCCAAAAAATCACGGGGTCGTGCCGCGCAGCAGCAAAACGGTGTGCCAAACCACCCTCAATTGCTTCTTGAGTGACATGTCACTTTAAAATTCAAATAAGCCATGCTTCTCTTAAATTTTATGCAGCTATTAAGACCTCTCAGAAATCAAATGTTGCTTTTGGCATTGGTTTCCTAGCTAAAATAATATAAATCCAGACCATTAAATTTTTTTAACCCTACAATTACTAATGCATTACTATTAGTTCACCAATGTTCTCTTTTGTACAGCAGACGGTAGTCTATTAAATTTTTATTTTTTGAGTAAGCTTTGTGAATTTTTATTTACTAGGTATTGATTGAAGTTTAATTAGCTTGCCTATTTAACCCAGAATTTGCTACATTATTCCTCGAGCTATAGAATTTCAACAACTCCCCAGTCTTTACTTTCCATCATTTCTCCTTGCTCATCCAGATCTCTTCTTTCTTGTTGTATGCAAGCTAGTTCATGCTCACCTGTGAGTGATCCGCTACATAACATGTAGGGTGGTCTAAGTTCTGGCATTCCCTCCCCAGTACAATCCTTCTGTAAAATATAAAACTTATTTGTAAATTTCTGAACATAGCGCGTTTATCTATATTCCATGATTGAATAGTTTTTCTATTTTTAAATTACGGTGTAAGAGGTTGTGAAAGTTCTTCATTAATGATTTGTAAGATCACTTGGAATTAGTGAAATGAGTAAAAATTCAAGAATAATGCTCCGATACAATAATGAATTGAGAATAGCACAAAATTTCATACCATCTTATATCGAGAGGCCAGCCACTAACCTATACAAGAATCAAAATGCAAGGCCCTAGATGTATTAAGACTTAAATCAATGAGGGCGTAGTATTGAGAAGAGTAAAAGTTGGTTAGTCGGGTTCCACAAGCCACACGGAATTGGGATTGCAAATCATGCAATACAGTTTTTTTCCTTTTTTTGGTTCTCTTCTTGCTTTTATTTCATGTCGTAAAAAATATACCCAAACCAAGGTCAATATAACATAACCTGTCGAATTGCATATTTGTAATATTTATCTCCAAGTAGTCAATATATGGCCTGATCTTCTAGTAATATTGATTTAATTCTAAATTTCAAAGTCCAAAAAATTACAGATTTATACTTGAACTTTGTTTGACAAACTGATCCCTATTAATCTTAATATTTGTTCCAACTTCCACATTATTTTGGCTGAGTTTTGATGAATAAAATTATTCCATCTGCAGTAACATGCATCAAAGAACTTAACTTTGAATATCCTTTTACAATGACCAATAAATAAATAAAAACTACTCTATTTATTTAGCAACCCCCAAATATTTAAGATTCAATTATATATATATATATATGCATTCCACTAGTACTTGAAATTTCGTTAAAAACATTTGCCAACCAAACTAACTCAAGATCTCTCATAAATCACCAGATTTCTAAAAGTATATCATATAGACCCAAAACTTTGCCTTTAAATATTCATCAAAGCTACTCCATTTTGTTAGATCAATCAACAATATGCTTCATAACTACAATCTTTATGCTCATCTAAAAAGATTTCTTCTTAAAATTTTGATTTAATAACTTCTCAAAGTAGCAATTTCATCTATCTTTGGCATCTTCAACTTTAACAACATTAGATTATCTTTGCTTTGATACACCAACTTGCTCAGAATATCAAATAAAAAATGGCTTCCTTTGCTTATAAAGTTGCACTTATAAATGAAAAAATACATAATGGATATTTACACGTCCAGGATTCTTCTGTATAACACCTAAGCTTCAGTATTTAGGCATAATACTTAAATCTTTAACTTCAAATAAAAAATGCCACTATTAACCCTTTTAAAGTTAAATACACCTTTATCAAGAATATGTTGTGATGCGATTATGCCACTAAAGTACAAATATAAATATGTATGTGAGTGTCTGTATAAATATTAAATTTTAGGTGTTAGATGTATAAATATATAAGAGAAGTGAGGTATTATACGTAAATTTTTCTATATAAATTTATGTAGTAGGTCGGAGGTCATGTACCCCATCAGTGCCTCCCTACAAATATAAGTCATCAAGATAAAGAAATAATATAATTCTATTTACGCCAAAAAACGATTCACGGATAAAAAAACTTGTTAAAACAATGTGCAATACCTGCAAGCCAACTCACACAGATTAAAATCCTACAAATTAATTTTTTTTTAAATTAAAAAAAAATCAAATTTAAAAACGTCTGATCTACATTAGAAAGGAAAAAAAATGCAAGATATGTCTTTAATGAAATGAATGCAACAAGAGGAAATAACTTCGTAGTCAAAAGACCTTACTCAAATGATGATGTTAGTTGTGTAAATCCATCAAAAGGACACCACTGATATCCAAGAGGCTGCAAAAGAATATGAAAAAATTGCTACATTAGTTTTCATTTGGCATCAAACGTTTACTAAAAATTACAACTAGTCAACATATAAAAGAGCATGAAAAGTATAAACAAATAAACCTATAAACCATTTAAGAACTGGAATGTTAAGAATTGATACAGCACGTGAATGAACACAAATCAAGGCTCCAGTATAAATCAAAAAGTCCAAACTAAACCTAGGTCGGACTAATCCATAAATTCAAATCGAATTTATTTAACTAGAATTTTTTTCAAATAGTTGGAAATTATCCTTTTGTATAGTTTCGTTTTAAAACTTCAATTAAATGATAATTATTAGAGTTGAGCTTGATGAAAAGAATAATTTTCAATTCAAATTATAAAACTTATTTCTATAAATGGGGGTAAGGATTGATATTTGAGTTAACCCAAATTATAATGGGAAAAGCATATATTATTACTGAAAGCAAATAGGAAGTTACAAATAACACACTTGAAAGGGAAAATACAACAACAAACACAAATAAACAAAATTAGAGTGTATCCAAAGGATGGTGCTGATGGTCGGCGAGGTTTTGGAAGGTGGTGCAGGGGTTAAAAAGGCAATTTGTAAGCAGAAAATAGCAAGGTAGGCGTTTCCCCGGTGTCGGACAGCAAGCAAACAGCAGGTAGTGACGTGGGAGGGCTGGCCGGGGTGATGGCTGCAAAGATGGAGGGCTGAAATGGTGGTGGCAGCAAAAAGGAGAGGCTGGACAACAGCAAAACGGCTGGAAAGGACGGTATAGGGTTGCGGCAACACGGGAGGACAGTGGCATCAAAGAGGTGTTGCGGCAATGGCAGCAAGCTGGAACGAGGAAAATGACTGGCCACAGAAAACAGCCGAGAACAGCTGTTCAGGGTGGCGGCAGAGAGCAGGAATAACGGCGGCAGCGATGAGAAATGCGTGGGACTGTGGGGCAACCAAGGTAGGGCTACGCCAAGGCTGCAGCAGAGAGGCGAGGTTGTTGAAGAATAAAGGCGGGCGGCTAGAATGAGTGACAGCAAGGTGGGAGTGGTTGGAAAAGATGGCAGCAGGTGGAGTATGTGATGGCTGGCGGCTGGAGTTGCACAAGACAGCAGAAGTGTTGTCCAGTGGTTCTGGCTGAGAGGAAAGGTGGGGTCGACGGCGAAGGGAAGGTTGCGAAGGATGGGAAATCAAGGATAAATATCTCTACTGAATCGACTTACAGCCGAAGCACAAGTCAATTCTTGGGAGATCATCACCACTTCAGATGAGTTAAAGCTGGAGCACCTTCTCACCTTCGAATACAGTACTAGAAGGGGAACTCCTGTAGCCGACGAATATCCTGGCAGATACACCAGCAAAACTAAAAACCTAAACACACAAATAAAGTATATAATCCCTGGATAATTAGGATGAGACCAACCGCAAAAAGGAGGCGGCCAATCCAAAGGAGGGAGCTGGTCGGCTCTCCCTCTTGTTGGAATCGCGAGGAACCCACGAACGTGCGTCCCGTGTCCGAAGCTGAAAAAACTCACATCCCATGTCAAATGCTCCCGTGACAAGTATCTTATTTTTGTTAGGTTATCTCCATTATTATGAATTAAAAATAAATAATTTTCCCTTAATTCCCTCCTCTCTCTAACCAAAAGCTCATTCATGAGAATCCCTGTTTCCTGTTTTTTCTACCAAACCTCAAAGTTTCTTTCCCACTCAGAAGTCTCTCTCAAAATGGCACAATTCGCAGGGCTATGTGACTCTCTCCCATAACAAAAAGTAAATAACCCACGTCATCTCATAATTGGTTTGGCTTCAACAAGTGAGATACTTTTTAAATCATTTTCCCTTGATTCCATATTTCTTAATGTTTCTCCCAAACCTCGAAGTCTCTCCCATCCTCATGTACCTCTCATGATGGCGCAGATCCCAAGGCTATAAGACTCTTCTATAACAACCAGGAAATAACCAAGTCATATCAAGCTTGGTTTGCCTTCAAACTGTGAGATCCCTCTCAATTCTATCCAAAATCAAGTAAATTGCAAAGGTAGAAGAAATGAAGAATCAAGAAGATGAACAACGACAATTAGATCTCTAAGTTAGTATCATAGCCAAAATCCTGAAGGTAAGCACTAACGCATTTCAATCTCCTCTAATTGATTTTCCAATCCCTCTTATCCAAGAAAAATCAGCCCAATTCCTTACCCTGACGGAAAGCAATATACTGCATATGCATTTCTTCATGAATTAACAACACGCTAACAGAGAAACTTGTTCATCCAAGTGAAAATGGTGCTAACATTATTTTGCACTGAACATCACTAAAATAATACAGTACCACCAAATAATCACCCCTATACTCACAATCTTAACATTAACAAACATGCAACCAATACGAACAGTACCACAACAGAGAACAGGTAAAACTGAAATTCACAACAATTACCTCATGTCAAAAGTTTTCAGAACAATCATAGATGCCGGTCCTCCATCAATAAAAAATTTTAAAAAAATGAAAAAAAAAACATCAATAACATCACAAAAAAACAAATACAAATAACTTGATCTCGTCAGTAAAGAATGCAACTAATTTTCACTACACAAGAATATGAAGTCAAAGAACAAGGAAAATAATTTTATTAGTTTGATTTACCACATATTTCCTACGGTATGAAGGCTAGTAAAGCATCAAGGTACCGCAGCATTCAGCACATAAAATGAAGCCAAGAGAAACTATGCCCTGAAAAATACTAAATAATAGCAATGGATTCAAGCCATTTTTAAGAAAATTTAAATTCCAGTCCAAACAAAATCAGCACCCACGCACTCCCACTCAACAAAATAATTAGACCTTGTAAGGAACTTACCAGCTCAGAATAACTTAAATCATAAATATCCTCCGTGATCCACCCATCAAAATCAAAATCAGATGATGAACGATATCCGTTTGAATATAACCACTGGCCTTTCTCTACTTTTCTACAGTTCGGGCACTGCATCGCCCCTTTTGCATTAAATGCTGAGCCAATACAATCTGAATAAATAGCAGATAGTCAGAACTGAAAAAAAATCAAACAGACGAAAACATTCAAGTGCCACAAGATAAAGGGTTCTTTTGTTAGTAATAAACAGAAGAAAACAAATGAGGTTATCTATGGAAATCAAACAGGATTTTATGTCAGCAAACTCACAGATGAAAGTAGTCAACTTCACAGATGAAAGTGGTCAACTTAGTACAACTAGCAATATCGGTTCTTATCCAACCTAGTAGGTACAGTGAGCAGAACAACTTCCATGGACCAAAGAGGAAATGGAAAAGAAGGTGAATGAAATGAGATATGCGAGCATCAAGAAAATGAAAAATATGTGAAAATTATATGCTCATTAATAAAGGAAATGTGAAAACGATCAAGTTCTCAATTCTACAGGAAACCATCCAGGCAATCAACTTTAAAGTTAAGGTCCAGAGGAAGGTTACACTCAGTAATATGGAGCTGGAAGTTATACGCATAAAAAGTAAAGTATAATCAGAGTCTTTAGCATACATGATAATAAATTGATATTCTGGCTTTTAAATTTCTATTTGGAGAGACAAGAAGGGAGAGAATGGATTTGCCTTTTTCTTAGAATGGTGACTACCGATGCACGAATTTGATATAGGTGGAATTCAAGCTGAAAGTTTTGGTAACAACTTTCAAAATCTTTACCAACTAAGCTAGATTCTTTTCTTTTTTTTTTTTAAGCTTAAAAGCTAGTTGGATGTGGATTCTTTTGAGTGTGGTAAAGTGGCAAATAAAAATTTTTCAAGGATATTATCTCCTTATGCCAATGCAAGGCCTAATTTATATTTGGTCGCTTCCTTTTGTTGCTATTTTTACTCCTAAATTATTTGTGATTGATTTTACAAGCAAATTTGCTTTTAGTCGAATCAATTACAGCTAAATTTTCAACTGTATGGTAAATTCAAATGCAGTTGTTGATTTTCAGTCTTAAATTTCCCACTATTTTTTTTATTATTATTTATATGATGAGCACATTATCATTTGGCAAGGATTCTTCATACTTTTGATTTTCATCATAAGTTAGTGAATAACTTTTAATTGGTTATCTTTTGAGATGAAAATTTTCAATCCTAGTTATGTGTTCCATATATCACATCATATAAGTAAACCGACCCTAGGCTCTATGATGCCCCATACCAAATTTGTATCAAAGCCAGGCTGCATCACCAAGCCAATTAGAAATAAGACATCTTGATTTGGCCAATTAACTGAATAATTGATGATGCATTCTAATTTAAATGAAATCAATAAAGTTATGTTCTAATTAAATAAACTAATAATGATGACATTTAAAACTATCTTCTGATATTCAATGAGAGGCATAACCCTGGAGATTTTTCATGATAGACTAATAATTTAGAAGAATTCTTTGAACATTACACATACTTCATCTTGAAAATGTTGAAGTTGTAAAAAATTATTTAGTAGAGCATACTCAATTATTTTGGCAATGTGTTGTAGGTGAATAAAATCAATATAAGTTGGCATGAGATGTGAACTTTAAGAGTAATATTTGACATTCAATAATATAAAAACAAATTGTATGATCACTTAAAAGTTATAAACAAAGTGAGTATAGTGTGTTTGAATATTATGCATAGCTAAACATCCAATAGCTACAAGTGATTTACTATTAGACCATTTTGTTACTGCTACTTGTTTCATTAAAGGACTATGCTTAAGATTCACCCAAAAAACTACTTAAATTTTTCTCTATAGCTTTGAATGTTAAAACGGATCATTCTATTTGAACTATCGCACATGTGATTCATGTCTTAATATATATAATGTTAAACTTCAAATTGTCCCCTCACTATGTGTAATTTAGCCCGAAAATATCACATTTCTCGAATTTAATCTCTTAACAAATAAAATGATCCCTCAAATACTAAATTGGGATCAATCTTGTAGCACAGTTTCTATAGAAAGGACTACAATGGATTAAGTTTCTAAATTCGAGAGACTAAATTGCAAGAAATATGATACTCTGAAATTTAATCTAACTTCTATGTATATATATATAATCTCCTTTTTAGCATGTCATATACATGGCAGAAATTCTTGCATTGCCTTTATTTTATTCTATTAAAGAAATTGTGGTTGATTAATATTCATTTGAAGACTTCATAGATGCAAAAGATAATTTGCAATTATAATATGATAATGTTAAATAAAAAATTGCACTTACATCATAACCTAATAATGAACCTGAATTTATAACTCAACAACAATCTGAATTAATATTTGAAAGCAAATTTGAGCATAAATCATACGTGGTGGAACATATCTTTGATTGTGAAATTGAACTAAAAATGTTGATCTTTGTTTAAAATTGCACAATATGAGGCACGCGTTGAGGTGGGCCTCTTACAAAAAAATTGCAATGAAACTTATTCCTCATCATCCCAAGGTAAGGTATATCCCTTACCCAAATTGAGGCATTTCTTGAGCCACGTCTCGTCTTCAAAATAAACCTCAAAATTTTAAAGCTATCGGCAACAAAAAATAATATCAATATATCTCACATATTAACTCTCACAATGTTGACCTCATTTTTGTGAGGTCTTAGTCTCCTACTCCCAGAACCCATAATCTAGCCTTAGGAGTTCTTATTGACTATCCTAGCGGACTAGCAATGGAACCCACCTCCCGTAGAACTTCAAGCCACTTCTTGACTCATTTTTGTGAAGAACTCGCATGAGTGTTTCCAAGCACTCAACTTCTAGTTGTAAAGGCTAAGGATCAACATGCAGAGGGCCCGAAAATGAGTTCCTATAGGATCAAACAGCCTTAGGTGAACCCTTTGTGACTCGATTACTCGCTAACGACACACTTCACACACTCACTGCATCACACACGACTTTGACTTGAATTGACTCGCCCGTCGGCGAACTCGTCCGGACGACCCCGGATGA